TCAAAAGCTGACCTAATATTCTTCAACTCTTACAGAATAACCAAGAATTTGAGCTTGTTTAATCTGTTATATTATACAAATAATTATCAAAACTTTCTAGGTTTGGACCGACGGCAAAGGTACAAAGGCAACAGGGTCTCCAATGTTGCGAGCCTGGTGTCTAGCGTTTCCATACGTGGAACCTCTTTCTACGAGTCGTCACGTCTTCTCTTTCTACCGTAATCTTTTCTCTATTTTTACCCAATCCATCTACTTTTTTTTATCTTTCGATATCTTTTGTTACACCTACCAGAGAAAGAGGACACGGCTTAGAAAGAGGTTATTGGACATTTGTAATCACATACAGTAAAAAGTCACAGAATTAAACGAAAAAGTCGATGGATTAAATAAAAATTGAGATAAGATTACGGTAGAAAGGTGTCGTGACGATCTCGTGATCGAGATTGCCACGTATGGAAATGGCCAGCTAGACACCTAGTGTCGCTATCCGTTCAACTCCAATGTCTGGAAGACGAGACGAACGCCCGAGTTCCGTAAAAAAGCAATGTGAACGAGCTGCCGAGGTGTGTGCCGTGGAGTGCCTCTACTCTCCCAATGTCAAACCACTGAACCAACTATTATTTCTGTAATAAAGATTATATCTAAACCAACAATAATCACTACAAAAGGGGATATGATTTAGAAAATGCAGAGAGAACCAAGAATCTATTCTCTAGAATCTGAGAACTCGGTAGTTTGATAGCTTTGATTTTGATTTGATGGCTTCAAAGAGTCAAAGTAATGCTAAAGATTTCAAATACAATAAATTTGTTCCTCTAATAACCAAAACTCAAATCAAATTCAAAATTTGATCCTCTAATAACCCAAATTGCAATTCTAAAAGAAAACTTTTACTGAGAAATCAACGAAACTGGCAAAAAAGGATTGAAATGTCGGTCTAACCATAGAAGCTATAGATAAATAAAGTTAAAGTAAAGTTAAAGTAAAGTTAAAATAAACGTTTTAACAAGAAGAGCTTCTTGAAATCGATTTGGAAAAGGTTTTGGAAGCGTTTAAGCGGAAAATTCCCTTAAATCAATTTTCTTTTATTGGGTTGGTGAATTGAAAACTGCGGGCTATTGTCAAATGTGAAAGTTTGAGCACTTTCTTCAAAAGAAACCCATTTTGGTGTCAATGGAAAAGTTGTAGAGAATCAAAAATCAAGCTTATATCCTAATTTTCAGAACGATTCAAAAACTGCTTTTCAAGAAATGCCAAATTTAAGAAAGAAATGCCAAATTCTCACAAAACTTGCATTTTAAGCGAAACTACTGAGTGTATCTTTTTGGAAATTTGGCTATAAGCCTAATTTTTGATTCTCTACAACTTTTGTATTGACACCAAAATGGGTTTCTTTTGAAGAAAGTGCTCAAACTGGGACCTCTAGTCTCCATCTCCAGTCCTCCATTTTTGAGTCTCACACTTGTCTCACACACAAACCAAAATCCTACTACGAAAGAGTCAGGTGTACTGGGAGTTGCTGGATAGCAAGACGACCGTTAATGCAATCACATATAATGAACAGTTGGGAAGTTCTGGATCATGAGTAATGAGCCTGAAGAATAGGCCCTTCAGGTCAAAGATCGTTCTCCTTCACGACAACGCGCGCCCTCATGTTGCAAAACTGACTCGCTCTAAAATGAACAGCCTTGGTTGGGCACTTTTGGCAGTTCCCCCATACGGTCCGGACCTTGCCCCTTCTGATTACGATTTATTCCGGACCATGAGTAATGAGCTCGCGGGAGAACACTTTGATTCGGAAGAAGTAGTCAAAAATTGGCTTTGAAAGTTTTTCGATTCAAAACCAAAATCCTACTACGAAAGAGGAATCCACAAATTGCCTGTAAAATGGGCAGAAGTCGTCAATAATAATGGGATTATAATAATGGAATTATAATAATGGAATATTTCGAATGAATTCATGGTTTTATGTTGAATAAATTTTAGTTCAAAGTCCCGTTTAGTCCCGCAGTTTTCAATTCACCAACCCAATACATTGGAAAGGCAAGAGAAAGAGGCATTTGACTAGAAAAGGCTGACTAATCGAAAAGAATTTGATTGGCTGGCTAATCGAAAAGAAAAGTTTTAGAAGTCGTCATTTTCTGAATGAATTTCTCGATTACACGAAAGAATTCGGTGTTGAATTCGGTGTTTTTGTAGGAAGACAAGGAAATGTTTGATCTTTTCGTTGAGGAAAAGATCAAGGGGGGAAATGAGTGGTTTGTGTCTGTTACACGGAACAAGAAAAATGAGAAAACACAAACAAAAAAAAGCCGGAAAAGCGCCGCGGGTCTTCGCTTTTCTCTAATAGTTTTAGACAAAGATGGCACTTTTTTTTCTTGTAATCCATTTCCACTCAAGGAAACACATTTCGGTCCATCAACAGATCGGTCCATCAACACTCAACAAGTCCATCAACACTCAACAAATCCATCAACAACGACTCAACAAGTCCATCAACAAGTCCATCAACAACGACTCAACGAGTCCATCAACAATTGTGTTGCACTGGCATTTTGGCTCGAGATTAACGCTTCTATTGCTATTAGTTTAATATTTGGGACTTTTGAGGTGATTTTGATTCAATAGTTGAATATTTATGGGGACGCAGCTTAGGCTCAAAGGCTCAAAGGCTTAGGCTCAAAGGCTCAAAGGCTCAAAGGCTTTGAAGGCTCAAAGGCTTTGAAGGCTTGAAGGCTTAGGCTCAAAGGCTTAGGCTCAAAGGCTTTGAAAGCTTGAAGGCTTAGGCTCAAAGGCTCAAAGGCTTAGGCTCAAAGGCTTTGAAAGCTCAAAAACCATTATTGTTATTGTAAAACCGTAAAACTGTTATTGTAAAACCCAATTTGCGAACAACTTCTTGGTAAATGAAGAACGGAAGATAGAAGAAACAACCAGACAACAACAAAAACAATGGAACCCATTCAGTCTCAAAATCAGAGATTGAAAAAGGAAGAAAAGGAAAGAAAAATTTAATTTTATCTTTATTCTTAGACGATTAGATTCGAAAACCCTAAATAACTGAGTGGCTTTAGAAATTAGATTTGAAAAAGCTTTAAAACCATTGATTTTTAACCATTAATTCATTGCGACTAGTTTGTTGGGTTTTATTTTAAGAATCCTGAAGAAAGTGGTGAGGTAAAAAGGAAATGGAGGGACTGAAAAGAAAGTTAAAGCTTATCTGATAAAGTATGAAGAAAAATCGTGAAGAAAGCAGTGTATAGAAGTTAGAATAAACTCGAATTTCTACATTATTTTTACAGTTTACTCAATTTGATATTACAAAATAGCAAAAATCGATTCATCACTCGATCACTAAATTTCAGGAGTCAGATTCCAATTGTTTTTGTTTAACAAAAGTCTTCACTATTTAACAGTTTTCAAATTTACGAGACATTAAAAATGTTAGAATCACATTTTAGTTTTGATTCTTTTAAGAAAAATTAGCATAAATTTGTTTATCCGACCTATAGTAGGTGCTTTCCATAAGCATTTCTAAGCAAGCAACAGCACAAAAGTCAATAATTTTTTGAAAAAAAGTACTGTATTTCCTCTAATAGTAGTACACCCCGGCGAGCCGAGTTGGTGACTATTTTACGGTTTCCAAGCTTTCGCGGAAGCTCAACATTCAAATCCCCCACTAGATCTCATCGTGAGCTACATTTTCCGACCCCACATCGATAGGTTCTGATAAGCGGTTCTCGAGATTTCGAGGAATTTAGGCGACGCTCAGGGTGCACTACTATTATTGAAAATACGGTAACTTAAAGGGAGGGGGGCCCTCCGGGGTAACAATCGGGGGGAGGCCCTCCGGGGTAACAATCGGGGGGAGGCCCTCCGGGGTAACAATCGGGGGGAGGCCCTCCGGGGTAACAATCGGGGGGCCCTCCGGGGGTAACAATCGGGGGGGGCCCTCCGGGGTAACAATCGGGGGGCCTCCGGGGTAACAATCGGGGGGGGGGGCCCTCCGGAGTAACAATCGGGGGGCCTCTATTTTTTCTCTTTCGAGGATATCGTTGTGGCGGTAAAATTTATTTCCGTCCACTGACTGTTTCTCCCTTTTTCGGTAGTTTTTCCATCAGCTTACAAAGGTGACAATGTTGAAGAAGCAATTCCAGCTGTTCGAATTCTGCCAGACGATACTTGGGCTTCGAGACAACTTCCTCCTCACTCCTCATTGTTTAATCTAAAATGAAACTTTTATAAACTATAAAACACATATAAAAGCACCAAAAACACCAAAAACCAAAAGAAAATAAAGAATTCAGAAAAAAACCTAAAAAGATTGGCGACGCGAAATGTGAATAAACTCTATTTTGAGCTGAAATTCATTTTGTCAATTCATTTTTATCATTTCCAGCAATAAATCTAACAAATAAACACGATGAAATAAATGAATTTTCTCAAGAAAAAATGATTTTATTGAGAATAGGCCACGATTTTTACCCTAATTTAAAGTTAAGGTTGTTGTTGTTGTTGTTGTTGTTGTTGTTGTTGTTGCTGTTGTTGTTGTTGTTGTTGTTGTTGTTGTTGTTGTTGTTGTTGTTGTTCGTTAGTTGTTGTTGTTGGTTGTTGTTGTTGGTTGGTTGTTGTTAGGTTAGCGTTAAGTTGTTGTTGTTAACGTTGTTGTTGTTGTTGTTAGTTGTTGTTGTTGTTGTTGTTGTTGTTGCGTTGTTGTTGGTTGCGTTAACGTTGTTGTTGTTAGCGTTAACGTTGTTGTTGTTAGCGTTAACGTTGTTGTTGCTGTTGTTTACATTTAGCGTATTGATAAGTGCGTTTCCTTTTTAGCATTAAAATTTATATACAAAACTTATACAGAATTTTCACCTAAAGTGCCAAATTCGCCAATTTTGAATTTAAACTTTTGCTAGCAAAATGGAAATGTTTACTTGCCGGAAATGCTTTATTTGTCAATGCTATGTGTACAATTGAAAGAGCCACATGCAAAGATTCGACACAATTTATCCATATGGTGCATTTGGTGACGGTGAACTCGAGACCACGGTCACCACTTGGCGCCTCCATTCCCAGTTCGGGGTTTTCTTGAAATCGACACATCCTTGGCATTCACAGTATAGAGCACCGTTGCCACAGTAGCCTGCAATGGGATGAGTTGGAGCGGATTTATAACAATGTGGCGAATCGCCGCTACAAGTTGGGGAATTGTATTCAAACCAGCCGAAAAACCCGCCTAACAGCTGGTTTAACAGCTGATTTTTCTCGCTAGATGCTTTGGGGAAACTTTGTCGCCGTGGCGTTGCCGGAAGCGCGCTTGTCTACGGCCCACAAGGTCCGGGTTCGACCCTCGTAGTGCTACTCAATTTTAATTTTCTCTTTGAAATGACTAACTACAATATATTCTAAGGTTTTCTGAAGAAGTTTTAGCTTTATTGGGCAAAACATGGCAAAATGCCCGTACAGACAGATAGACAGATGGACAGACGGACAGACAGACAAACAGACAGACAAACAGATAGACAGACAGACAGGGAAACAGACAGGCAAATAGACAGACAGACAGATGCACAGCCAGAAAAACAGACAGGCAAATAGACAGACAGACAGATGCACAGACAGACACTGTTCTTTTATATAGAGTCGATTACGTCTCCATTTTTTTCCCCAATACAGTAGTCTCCCCAAGTTCAACTGAATATCTTTGCGTAGACGTTTTTTCCCATTTAAGCTGTGAAATCTTCTTTTCAATTGTTGCAAGTTATATCCACACAATAGTAAAGTTTGTTTTCCCGTTGCCTCTTGCTTGTGAAAAGTGTAAAAGTTGCCTAATTTGTTCAAGTTTCATCTCGTCTGCAAGTTGGCATAAAAGTGCGGTATTTTCCAGATTTAAAATACATTAGAGAGAGCAATAGCTTTAAACAAGGAAAATAGCTGGCTCTAAATAGCTGGCTCTAAATAGCTAGCTCTAAATAGCTGGCTCTAAATAGCTGGCTATAGTTAAGAGTACAAAGCCTAGCAGAGAAATATTTCTTACAGACGGATTGGTCGAGGTAGATAAGCCAAGATTAAACCAGACCAGGATATTCTAACAGGTAAATCTAAGAGGTAGATCTAACAGGTAAATCTAACAGGCAGATCTAACAGATAAATCTAACATTTTGTACCTGATTGACTGCAACATGGCGCATTTGAGTCCGGATCACATTTTGGAGTCTTGCCACTCGGCAAAACTGGAGCACCGGGGCCACACTTGCCTAGAAAACGGTCGAGTAGGTGGAAAATAGCAAGAGCAAGGTCTTTACCAAGAGCAAGGTCTTTAGCAAGAGCAAGGTCTTTAGCAAGAGCAAGATCTTTAGCACTCACCAATGTGATTCGAGTTCTCGGCGAACGTCCACCACTGAACCGGTTTCCAGTGATAGTCAGGGGTTTTCGAGAAATCGACGCAACCCTGGCACTCACAGTGTTCCTAAATTGATGCTTATGTAAATTAGAAGATCTTTCTCTACCTTTGTTGATCCACAGTAACCCCCATTTGAGCAACATTTAGCACTTGGATCATCCGGATTGCAAGTGGCCGGTCCTCCATCCAAATGTGGAGCCATTGGGCCACAACGACCACGTCGACCCTCGCCGGATGCAAGCGTATACCTAATGGACTTGAATTTTCCTGGCAACTCTTGGTTAAAGGTGTTTTCTAAAGGGTTTTCAGGAAAAGCTACCGTAGTCGAGTTTAAGCACTTTAAGCAGTGTGATCTTTAGCTTTAAGACTTTAATCGGTGTTAGATCTTTAGTAAGACTTTAAGCAGTGTTAGATCTTTAGCTTTAAGACTTAAGCAGTGTTAGATCTTTAGCTTTAAGTCTTTAAGCAGTGTTAGATCTTTAGCTTTAAGACTTTAAGCAGTGTTAGATCTTTAGCTTTAAGTCTTTAAGCAGTGTTAGATCATGCGTCTTGCTCTTCACTTGTGGAAGAGTGGGTAAAAAAGATGAGCTATCGTAATCCCTGGAAATTACGGTTACTATTACTATTATCCTCGGAAAGCCATCGAAACATTGCTCGTCTGTACAGTTGACGGAACCGAAGACACAATTACGCTATTACGCTATTGCTATTACGATTTCTTTGCGATCAAGATTCCGATTACGATTATGGATTACGATTGCTTTTCTTTGAATCTTTAAAGTCCTTTTAACATGACTAATTGCTTTCTAATCCAGCCTGCCTACCAACCAAGTCACTTTTCTCTCTGGCCGAATCGGTTCTTTGAGGATCAACGACGGATCGGCTCCATAATCGACACAACTTGCACAGCCGCAGAACTCAGGTCCCGACCCACAATAACCGTATTTCCCACAGCAAGCGTGTCCTAAAAGAAATTGATAGCTTTTTCTGTATTTGATTCGATTGCTGACTTCAAGGAGCTTTAGTAAAAACAGGAAAGCCTCGGAAAAGAGTCGGACTTTTCACTTTAAGACTTTAAGCACTTTTAGCAGTGTTAGATCTTTAGCTTTAAGACTTTAAGCAGTGTTAAATCATGCGTCTTGGTCTTCACTCGTGGAAGAGTGGGTAAAGTAGAGTCATTATCGATTATTCACTAATTCATTTAACAACCTGGATCATCCGGATCGCACACTGGATAATAATCATTGTAGAGAGGAGCCGAGCGGCCACACATCCCAGCATGTTCCTGAAATTTGTTTATAACATTGCATTGGCGTTGGATAGGCTTTCTAAACCATCTCCTGGCTACCATGCCAATCTTTCTTTTATAAATACCTTTGTAAACATTTACCCAATCTGTCTATATCAGCTAGTTCCCCATCTTTGCGACAACCCAGATTACGGTAGGTATGGTCTACTGTAACCGGTTTAACTGACTGACCGGTTTATCCTCAAAAGTCCACCATCGTTGATCGTCGACCGGTGAGCACTTGTAGGGGAACTCTTTCTTGAATGGACTTGTGCAGATCTCACCGCCCGTTGCTGCCTAAAAAGCTCATTATCGAATTTCTTATTAAATTCGCTCGTTCAAATTCCGTTGTACCTGTAAAAGTGAGAGTTTTTCATCATCGAAATCAATAGCCCAAATCATCACCCCGCCAATGTTTCGCTCTTTAATGTAGTGAATCTGAAAGTCGAAATTTTAGCCCTATGCTTTTCGGGGTACGATATTTGAGTCAGTTTGAGTCAGTCAGTCAGTCAGTCAGTTACGCCTATAGACTCTGTCAAAAATGATAGACGCATCCTGTTTTCGCTAGTTTTCAGTGTTAACCCAGTGTTAACCCAGTGCTAACCCAGTGCTAACCCAGTGCTAACCCAATGAAAAATCTTTTTTTGGTTTCTTTAACGTCAAAAAAATCCCATGCCGAATTTGTACGTTTCTGTACGTTTCTGTACGTTTCTGCATGTTCCTGCACGTTTCTGTACGTTTCTGTACGTTTCTGTACGTTTCTGTACGTTTCTGCATGTTCCTGCACGTTTCTGTACGTTTCTGCATGTTCCTGCACGTTTCTGTACGTTTCTGTACGTTTCTGTACGTTTCTGTACGTTTCTGCATGTTCCTGCACGTTTCTGTACGTTTCTGCATGTTCCTGCACGTTTCTGTACGTTTCTGTACGTTTCTGCATGTTCCTGCACGTTTCTGTACGTTTCTGCATGTTCCTGCACGTTTCTGTACGTTTCTGCATGTTCCTGCACGTTTCTGTACGTTTCTGTACGTTTCTGCATGTTCCTGCACGTTTCTGTACGTTTCTGCATGTTCCTGCACGTTTCTGTACGTTTCTGCATGTTCCTGCACGTTTCTGTACGTTTCTGCATGTTCCTGCACGTTTCTGTACGTTTCTGCATGTTCCTGCACGTTTCTGTACGTTTCTGCATGTTCCTGCACGTTTCTGTACGTTTCTGCATGTTCCTGCACGTTTCTGTACGTTTCTGCATGTTCCTGCACGTTTCTGTACGTTTCTGCATGTTCCTGCACGTTTCTGCATGTTCCTGCACGTTTCTGTACGTTTCTGCATGTTCCTGCACGTTTCTGTACGTTTCTGCATGTTCCTGCACGTTTCTGCATGTTCCTGCACGTTTCTGTACGTTTCTGCATGTTCCTGCACGTTTCTGTACGTTTCTGCATGTTCCTGACGTTTCTGCATGTTCCTGCACGTTTCTGTACGTTTCTGCATGTTCCTGCACGTTTCTGTACGTTTCTGCATGTTCCTGCACGTTTCTGCATGTTCCTGCACGTTTCTGTACGTTTCTGCATGTTCCTGCACGTTTCTGTACGTTTCTGTACGTTTCTGCATGTTCCTGCACGTTTCTGTACGTTTCTGTACGTTTCTGCATGTTCCTGCACGTTTCTGTACGTTTCTGCATGTTCCTGCACGTTTCTGTACGTTTCTGCATGTTCCTGCACGTTTCTGCATGTTCCTGCACGTTTCTGTACGTTTCTGTACGTTTCTGTACGTTTCTGTACGTTTCTGCATGTTCCTGCACGTTTCTGTACGTTTCTGTACGTTTCTGCATGTTCCTGCACGTTTCTGTACGTTTCTGTACGTTTCTGCATGTTCCTGCACGTTTCTGTACGTTTCTGTACGTTTCTGCATGTTCCTGCACGTTTCTGTACGTTTCTGTACGTTTCTGCATGTTCCTGCACGTTTCTGTACGTTTCTGTACGTTTCTGCATGTTCCTGCACGTTTCTGTACGTTTCTGCATGTTCCTGCACGTTTTCTGTACGTTTCTGTACTTTGGTTGGTTGAAATGATGCTAGTTTTTTGCGATAAAGGAACTAGAAAACACTTTCTAACATAATAGTTGCCATGACGCGCTCAAAACTGACAAAAAAACATGGTGCGTCTATGATTTTTTGACAGATTATGTGATATCACAGTTACTGTACTCATATCATTTGTTCTTCAAACGCCAGCCACTTTCAAAGTCGACCAAAATACGGTAGCAAAAGGTTTGGAATTGGTGGAATTGGTGGAATTGGTGGAATTGTAGTGCTTGGCTTAGACTGAACCAATTTCTCTGAATACCTTATAAGATAAACTATTCGCATCCTCGTATCCGACAAAAGTCGCATTCTCAGGCATCCAAATGAAAGGAGTCTTCGATCCTTCATGGAAACGAGTACGCGACATCTCGAAACGGCCACCAATTTGACGCCATTGCACATCACCACCCTAAAAAAACATAAAGCAATCTAAATCTTTTAGATTTGTAAATATGTTTTGTGGCTTTGTGGCTTTTTAGCTCAATTATCTGCTTTCAACGTCGACAATTTTCAAATTTTACAAATTTTCGTCAATTTCAAACTATTTTCGTCTTTAAACTTGTGTGATTGCTTTTAGAATTTGAAAATTTCTTTGCTCCAGATCCATCTGAGCTTGCGTCTCTGAGCATCTGAGCTTACGCTCACCTCAAATTTGTTATCTCCTTCAATCGGTTTCGCCGTTCTCCACATGTCATCACCGGGTGCAACAGCTTCGCCAACATTGTGCCAAAAACGACCATAGAATGGGACACCCATATTTATCTAGAAAGTATTCAATTTTTAAGACTTTTAAAAGGTTTTGTTGATCAAAGAGTTTAGTCCTTATCGTTCTTTTTCTCTTTTCATGAATTCAGCGAGATACACTACTGGACAATGAAATGAACAATGAAATGAACACTACTGGACAATGACAATGAAATTGAGATGTGACAAAACGTCGTGTCGGACAGCAATCGGCCTGCGTGTTGGCTCATAGATGGAGAGCATCAGAATTCCGTTTCTCACATCTATGGATAGATTCACGTCACGGCACGGCACGTCATTTCCTATCGAGCTACACTACTGGACAATGAAATATCATATTTGAAAAAAGGTCGTCACTTTCGCGCGTCTATAACTTCCTTGTCTTTACCGTATTTCTAAATATTAATATTACCATTGTGTAGCCCTTGAAAAGAGCTTTCAGAGAATGTCTAACACTAATAGTTTAAACTCAAAGACAAGGGAATTACAGACGCGCGAAAGTGTCGATCCAGTACTGTATTGTCCAGTACTGTAGCTCGATAGGAAATGACGTGCCGTGCCGTGACGTGAGTCCATCCATAGATGTGAGAAACGGAATTCTGGTGCTCTCCATCTATGAGTCAACACGCAGGCCGATTGCTGTCCGGTACGACGTTTTGTCACATCTCAATCAGGGATTCAGATTGAGCAATAGCTTCATAACGTGGATGGTTGGCGCATGTGTCAGAAGTAAGCAAGATTAGAGTGTGTTCCTTGCAGACAACGCGTTTTCTAAAAAGCGCGCACCAAAGATAAGCTACCGTAACCCTATGCTTTGCATCAGCAAATTTTTCAAAATGCAAATGTACGGGAGTGGGACAAATGCGAGTTTTTTTTTTGCGTACCCGAACATTTGCGCACTTTGCCCATTAGCGCACCTTTTTTCGCGTTTTAAGAAAGCTCTAAAAGCTAATATTAACCAATTTCTATTCCAAAAATTGTTTTTCTAGGTAATTTTAGGGCGTAGAATCGAAATTTTGGCAAATCAGAGCTTGTGGAAACAAACGGACGGTTGCGACCCTTATAGCTTTGCTTAAAAAGCGCACCTTTTAGAAAACGCGTTGTCGGAAGTTTGTCGGATCAATTGTCTGACAAAAAAGTTGTCAATAAAAATTTGTCTGACAAATTGTCTGTCAACAAGGAGCACACTCTAAGCAAGATGGGCGTTGTTGAAAGAGCGAGATTGCATTTCGCTTCGAGAAGAGAGACTCGTCCACCTCGACAATACGATTGGGTTCTCCAATTTTTCTGCTCGGCTTGTTCATCAGATATTGCACGCAAAGATCCCTCATGTCGTTTTTGAAATCGCGGTGTTGTGATTCACCTCCAATTCTTTCGCACAATAGTCGATCGAGGTCCACTGTTGAGTCCATCCATAGAATGGGATTGTAAGAAACGATTGGATTGTAAATCATAGGATTGTAAGAAACGAAACGGAGTTTTGGTGCCCTCCATTCATGAGCCAAGGCCGATGGCTGTCCGGTACGACGTTTTCTCACATCTCATCTGTCATGTCACATCTCAATCAGGGATTCTGATTGAGCAATAGCTTCATAACGTGGAGGGTTGACGCTTCATAACGTGGAGTAGTAAGCAAGATGGAGCGTTGTTGAAAGAGCGAGACTGCATTTTGCAACTTTCTAAAGTCCACCTAGAAAATTTGAGCTCATTCTCGAGCCTCGGTAGTCGGTAAGCGAAACATCACCGTCAAGAAATAGCAAAAGAATGCATTTTCTGTGGTTTTCCTTGTTCATTTTTATGGAAGGATGCAAATTTTGAAGGATAACGGAAAAGGAAAAGGACGGAAAACCCAATCAACTTGTTTCTAAAGGTATCTAATCCATAAATAGCTCTCTTATTTTTAAAAATCTTCACCTTATAAGTGTCTTTCAGCTGACAAGCGTAGTATTTGATCGTCGCGTGCACATTCATCTTGCCAGAGAATCTCAAATTTCAGTTTTAAAAGGGGAAAAACGAGTAAAAACGAGTAAAAACGAGTAAACAAGAGGAAAATAACAAATTGAACCTCTTCACGTAAAAATTTCGACACTTTTTCCTGAAACTTTTAAGAAATATGGACTTTACTAGAGGACTGTACTCAGATTTTACAAAAAAACAAAGCTTATCTCACTTCTTTGGCATCGCGAAATGGAGTGGAGCTGGCGGGCCGGTGAATGCACCCCATTTACTCTGCCATGCACCGAAATAATCATAGGACATCACATTTACGAAATCCGCATTTTCAAGGAGACCACGAAGATCGAAACCTAGAAAGATCTTTCGTTTAATTGACTTTTGTTTTAAGTTTAAGCAATGATGGGATTGTTCTGTAAGTGTTTGTAAGTGGCTCTAAGAAGACAGAAAGCGAAAATCCTCACTTGAATCACTTATTGGGGCATAGGGGCAAAATTCAAATGATGAAACTAGATTAAGTTCATATAGAGAATAGCCATCGGACACTTCATTCCGGTAACTTTTCACCACTGCTATTGATTCATATCGGACAAATAAGCAGTAAGGCATAAAGCCCTACCTTGTCGAC